AAACTGGCCTGTGAGTTTGGCGGTTTTGAGACGTCGTCTTTTATTGGAAAAAAAACTTTTTCATTTTGCAGACGCGCATGGCTTCGGCGACGCGCGCGCCTACCAGAAACTGGAGACTTTTTTTGGCCAAAGTCAATGGACGTGGAGATACAACCTTGTTGCACGGAGCGTATTCGCGCGTGATACGACTTTGTTGCAGAACGGAGTTACGACCTTGTTGCACTGACGTAGCTTGCTTGCGTGTAATTTGTCTGCTCTTGATAAAATTGAGGGGAAAGGTTTTATTTTTTAACTTCCCAGCAAAAAGGGAATCTCTTACTTTTTTCTTTCAACGTGATTGTTGCAAAGACTGTACCATGGGTTTACTACACAGAGTTGGAATTTGGAGTGTTCAGGAAACTTGCTAGCACAAATATACAGCAAGATAGGGATGAATGTTTGAGACATGACAGAAAAACTGGCGCCAGAAAATTCTAGTCAGGAATGAGTGACATGGGAGCTTGTTAAAGAGTGAAAGTTGAGTGTGCTGATGTAATGAAACACAAATAAGAGCACAGGGAAACTTGATACAAGTTTTAGTTTTGATGTTTGGATAATCAAGAAAGAAATTTAAAATACAGATATAAATAGTCACTACATCAACATAGCATTGAAACCACACTCTCCTCCTTGAAATGGAAAGTGTACTTAGACTTCTGTTTTCAATTGTTATATTTAGAAAGCATCCGTGAACTTTTCTTGGTTTGGGGACAAACTGATCCACTTTGCTAGCAGACTGGTTCCTGGTCCACGCTTTATCGATACTGATTGTGGGGCGGGAACCAGGCTACCTCGCCAGAACAGAAATATCTTCTGACAGCCAATAATTTTAAATTGTAAAGTAAATAATTCAATAACTAAACATTAGCTGATTGTTTTGTGTTCAAAAGTGAATAGCTGTTGTATTGCTAAAAAAAAAAGCAAGTCAGAAATGAGTATACAGTGTTTATACATCGGAGAAGGGCAAAGCCTAATATTGATTTACATCACCCCAACGCAAAATTCCATCTTATGAATACAATGTAGTTAGATGTGGTACTCACTTCTATGTACAATGTACATCAGATTCGAACCAGCCAACCGATCCCACAAGCTTGGTGTTTTGAGTGGAGACATCTGCACTAGAAAGCAGGAGGTTGTGGGTTAAAGTCCAACCCGAGTGATTTTTTCCAACATTCACTTTGGAGGTAACACACTGAGCATACAGTGTTTATATGTCAGTGAAGGGCAAAACCAAATATTAATTTAGAAAAGAAATCTAATTTTTGGGATGAAACTCGAAAATAGCACAGGGAACGCAACTTTAAATCCCCCCCCCCCAACACACACATTCCATCTTGCAAAAATTCATCTCCTTTCCAGTTACATTCAGTACTTGCGATGGATTAACTGATGGAAATCCAATTGTTTGTTTCATCCCTCAGCTGCCAAGAAGATAAGGAGGAGGCATTGAAAGTACTCAACGGACACAAATGCAAAGGACAAGTGCTCAAAGCCAAGGTATTCACTATTAGTCAATTGTGGTTTTATTATTGACACAAGTTTCTGTTGGCACTTGTCATTGGATTTAAATGAATAAGAACTGCCTCAGCATTGGCTACCAGTGCAAGGGGTCTAGTGGCTGATATTGCTGTGGTTACAGGTTCATGTTCCTGCAATAACTCTTTTCCCGTAGCTCGCCAAGCCAGTTGAGGACCCGTACACTAAGAGCCTCGCTCGGAAGAGAAGCCAAGAGGAATCTGATGGAAACACCCAAGAAGCTAAGAGGAGGAAGGAGGAGGACAGCTTACCAGTAGAAGAGAGGTGAAGACATTGAGATAGAATGCAGGGTTGGGCTGGATTCGAACCACCAACATAGAAATGTACTGCAGTTCTAAACTCAGATATCGTGAATACAATTGGTGCTATTTGTTTGGGTCAAGTATTTTGTATTGACCCAAAATTTACCCAAACCAGCATCCTGAAATTGTGTCTGCCATATCTCAAAAAGGCTAATAGCAGTTGAACCATTTACTACTACTAAAACTTGATTAAGACTCTGAAATACTGAGCGCAATTTTTTCATCCTTTTCCAATCTGCAGGTTAAACAACACGGTGACTCCACTATGGAACCAGCTGTATGAGGACCAGTTATCCACCAAACAGACCAACACCAGGGAGTGTCTTGTCTTGATGCATGGCCAGTGTATGGAAGGACAGCAACCGGCATGTCCGGTGTGTTCGGGGTCTGAGACTGGTTCCTATTCGGTAAGAAGTTTTGATGTTTAGGTCTGTACCCATTGTCTCTTAGTATTGGATTGTTTGCGTAGGGGAGTTATCAATGTTAATATCTAGTTCTGCTCTTCACCAATGTAAATTTGAAAGCACTGTATAGGCCTACTTAGAGTTTTCTGGAGATAACTAGCAAGAAATTCCCTAGCTTTCTTGGGTGAGATTTGCACATGTTTTAACCACTTGATAACCAAGCATATCAAAGTTTGTTGGATAAATATCCCTGACATTGAAGATGATGTGTATATCCTTTGGGTTTGATGATTTCTGTCATTGGTGGGATGTGAACCCCAAGTCCCTGCTTATAGAAACTCTCTCATTCAGGGTCAGATTAAGACCAACTGTCTCTGGACTTATTGGCAAATTGGGTCTCACGGCATGAACACCAGGAGGTGGGGGTTTATCCCCACCCCCTCCCATGTTTTGACCAGGGTTGTGGGGGATGGGCAATGGCATCATCATGTATTAGGGGAAAATGCTGCTCATTGAATCCTGCCAACATGACTTTACAAAGAAGTTGAATTAGTTCTGAGAGAAGCAAAGAGTAACCCTATGCACTCTTAAATGAAAGTAAAATTTGACATAAAAGCGTTTCTTTTCTTGTTTTTTTTTAAGGATAGAGCACACCTATCCACCAGTATTGGTGTTCAAGGCACTGCATCATTAAGTTAAAAGTGCACATTGCCTGGAATGGACATAACATTTTCATACAATGTGCCTGTTATGAACACCGCAACAGAAAGTTTCAAGAGTTTTTTTTCTCAGTTAGTCCCCTAAATTTCTTGTCAGGTCTTCATGAAACTTGGCCCTGGATAAATTATGCAAACGTTTCAGTTTCATGTCTTATTATTTTCATTGACAGATAACACTGTTGGTTTCCGGCTTGGCGCTTACAAAGGTAAGTATTTCCTCTGAAGTTTCCTTTTTGCAAAAGACGTAGATCAGCTTTTATGTTTGATTGGATCGGATGTCGAGGGGCGTGGCCTATTAGTAGCTAATGCTGATCAATTCCAACCAATCAGAATGCAACACACAGAAAGATTGACAGGTGTACATATTGTGCATTGTCTAATTTGTCTGTCAGGAATTAATTATTGAAAAGAAAGAAACAAGCCACAAAAGACTTAAACCCTTCTCATCCCCTTTGCTAACCAATATTTTGGCTTACTTTTGTGGCATGAATATTGAGGGTATATGTTTGTACTTTCAACATTGACCAGCAAGCTCTTTTACTTGATAGGGATTTTTCAACAATTACATTTGTACAAGCAAGAATTAGGTTTTAAATACAAAATTCAGGAAAATCACTGTTTATTTAAATGTTGCTAGTGTACACTTTTATTTATTTTATCACCGATCTTGCTTTTACACGCAAATTTGTTTGTCCTATAAAAAGTATATGACTTTTAGAAACATGGTTTGCGCTGCAATTTTTTTTTCAAATATTACTAGGTATCAGAAAGACGAAAGAGGTCAAATGCCGATTTGGTGATAGTACATTTTTGTATTATTTGTGTAATAGAGTTTTAAATTACACAAGGAAATAGCAGCTTTAATGAACATTGCAAGCAGCAATTCCTCAGATACTGTGCAAATTAAGATACATCTTGTATGATGCTAACTTTTCAACGACATTCATATTTTATAGCATTGATTTTTCAATTACCTAAATTTGAAGTACCCTTGAGTCCATCTAAGAGAAATATTAGAGTATTGCTTTGCATTTAAACATCATACAGACATGGAGCTCATAATGTAATACAACAGACTAGTGGTGCTACACAGATTATGTACAATTATAGAGCATGCAAGTCTCGCCAGTTCACATTCACTTTTCATGTGAACATCTTGGTACCAAACACTGACTAGTCTAGCCACAGACTCCCGTGTCTAAATTCACCCAATTCACCCGGTGAACGGAAGTGGAGGTCCACATTTTTTCAATTTACTATAGTAATCAGCTTGCAATATTGTTTGAATGTGTTGTAAATTGGAATGTTTTTTTCTTGTTCAGAACCCATTCTTTGCCCTTGACTGGATAAACCTAGTTAACTCACCTAGGTTTTTGAGGTCAACTTGCACGCTCTATTGACAGAAGTGGAGTACAAATTGCTGACTTTAACTATCAACTACATTTTGTCCAGCTAGTAGCTGTGAAGACACCTTTAATACACCAGACTTAAATCCCATACTGTACATCTAAAGCCTACAATGGTCTCGTATATTATATATCGGTGCTCTGCAGCAAAAAAAGTCTATACAATGCATTTCTCCTTGCTAAAGGATTTTTCAAGAAACTTCAAACAAAAAACAGCACTTTATTTGGTCTTCAAAAAAGTTATCCACATTGTGCAACATGTACATGTATGCACAAAGACTGGTATACATTTGGAATCAGATGCTCCTAATGCATAATTTGCAACTTTGTTGATCTGTTACTTAGACTGTGTCTGAAACAGGCTTCTGGAGCTATGGCTACGGCTATTGTCAGATTGTTCCCATGTAATTGTTATGGGTGAAGACCTAGACAATATAGCTCTAGCCATATCAATTTTTTTAATCTGTTCATTTGTGCATCAGGTCTTGATCCACAAGATAACCATTCCACCAGCACCTCTGACGTACCAGTGACTGGCGCTGCCATAACGGATCCTTATCACTGTCTGACGCAACAGCACTTCACCTCGGAGATCTTCAAGATTGAGATCCAAAACCTCCCAAGACATTTTGGATTTGCGGTGAGTTTGCTCCCTAAACCTACAACCCTCGATAATGATAATCAGGTGCAAATCCAGGATTTTTTTAGACAGGGGGAACATCGTTGGAACATTTGCTCCAAGAAATATGGGAGCGCGGGAAATTTGGATTATAGATGCTCTGTGGTGCAATCTGAGGTGATTCCTGGCCTTTTATAGTCTTAATAAATATAGTCTTAACAAAAATTATATGATGACGTTGAAGAACTCATTTTAAAACAAGGAAATGTTTTGGACTCCGTGAAAAGTATAATTTGTACTTTAAAAGTGCGCTTAAAAAATGGTGACCAATGGTGAGTTCCAATGGCTCTCCAGCTTGCTGTGTCATACAGCCAGTACACAATGTTTGCAGGATGATGTTTGATATCGGCGCCGGTATATTTGTAAGGAGGTTGCCCTCCTCCTTCCCTCCTTCTCGCTCTTCTCCCCCTCTTCTTGTCCTTTTTTTTCTTTTTTTGTTGACTCAATTTGATGGCAGCACGTGCCCCCGCAGACCACCCCTGGATCCGCGCCTAAATTATCATACAGTTTGCGCTATATCGAGAGTTCCTATTGCCAACAATGGTTGGAATTTCTCAAGGTCTTTTAATGGCATTAAGAAATTAAAGGGCCCGTGAAATGAAATATTGAAATATAAAATATTGAAATATATAAGCCTACTGTATTTATCAATGTAACAACTACATGTACTTATTTTTTTCTTTTTTTCAAGTGCACTTTTTACAATGTCCAAACAATTTCACTTTATAGCTTTGGGATTTTCTGTGTAATTGATGAACCTAAATTTCTCTGCATTGCACAAGTACACATAGCAGTTTCTACATTAAAGTATCACATTGAATTCAAGTTCAAGAGCAACTGCACAGTGCTCCACTTACCTGGACGGCTTGCACTCATCAGTTACCAGAAAACATTGTTCTTGACAACTTTCCAAAGATTGACTCCCTTCTGGTTCTGGATGTGCATACTGCTGCCCTTGTGCTGATGGCTCAGTGCCAGTCAGCCGGCCAGGGCATTGTTCCTGAGTACTTGCAAGTGACTGCTGGCTCTCTGCTGGTTCTGGATGTACACACTGTTCCCCTTGCATGGATGGCTTGCAGTCAGTCAGACTAGAGCATTGTTCCTGATGAGAACTTGCAAGCACTGGGGTCCCTGCTGGTTCTGCATGTACCTCAACATGCACTTGAACATGCTGCTGACTGTGCATGGATGCCTTGCTGCTGCATTGCCTAGAACATTGTTCTTGAAAGCTGTCCAGTGGCTGCTGACTCTCTGTGTGTTGTGCATGCCCTTGGCTTGGTGGCTTGCATCTGCTTGGCCTGGCAGCACGGTGCTCTTGGTCATTTTCTGCCTGTGGAATCACACGAAGCTCAATCTGCTTCCCTGGCTGTGATGGTCGGCTGGGATTCCGTCTTGGGCAGCAATGACAGCACAGTTTCAGGAATGAGAAAGCCTTGACTACAGCTTCACGATAGTCAGCGTTTGTGGCACTGTAGACTAGGGAATTGATTGAGCTATTGATCAGTTGCAAAATGTCAATGCATATAATCAGAATATGTATTGTCTCTCCAAGTTCCAGATTGGCAAAAATCTGAGCAGGTGAAGTATACTCAGATGCCACTACAACTACATGTATTGTCATAATTGCAGCTGCCGTGTGTAGTGAGTTCAGAATGAAGAAAACAGCAGTGTTGATGATAACCATGCAGAGGACCTTGCCTGCTCGCTTGGGACGGTTTGGCAACAGGGCTGATTGCTTGCGTACTTTCAATACTACATAGATGTACAAAGCAAGAGTTGCTATCAAAGAGGCAGTGTTGATAATGGAAAGAATCCCAAAGTTGACGTTATCAAAGACAGCGTCTGTTAATGGTAAGAAAATCAGAATCACAGCAACAATAATTGTTGGCACCCAGAGTCCTGCTGATATCTTTGCTGCTCGAGATTTAGAGGCTTTTTCTTTGAACGTTATAGGATTGCACACTGCAGAGAATCTCTCAGCTGCTATGGTAACCACAAAGAAATTAGAAGTAGCGAAGAAAGTGTATCGGACACTTACTATTGCATTGTTGACCAATAATTTGTACTCTATAGGTGAAAACAATGCAAATATGAAGTGAGTCATAAGGTAGAGGGAGTCAGCCACAGCCAGATTGGATAAGTAGATGTTGATGATTGTACGCATGGACTTCACTCGAATGACTGTGAAGAGAAAGACAAAGTTCAAGAGGAGGCCGATTGGTGCAATGATTTCAGCACTTAACCATGTTATTTGAGTAGCTCTTTCACTGCTCATGTAAAAGTTCTCGAGATGCTTTTTAACTTCGGTTCTCCACCCAGTTGATGGAGTGGAGCTGTTTTGGTAGCCATCACCCATAGTTCATGCACAATGTAGCATTGCGCTCCGTGAGCTACATTTTATTCAGATGCAGAAAAGAATGTTCTTCTCTATTTCAAGATCACTCCAGATTTATACTCACAGGGATTGTAAGACCTTGAGCAAAGTGTAATTGAAACAGAAAGATTCTTGTTCTTTTCTCTCTTTTCCCCCCCCCCCCAACATTTCTGTCGGATTTTAATGCATGTGACTATCTTGTGGTATCAGTTCCTGTAACCAAAGCAGATGCATGTAAGTCAGTTTCACTACTTGCACTGACATGAAATCTGAGAATTGAATTTGTTTCAGTTTTAATAATTTGCTCCAGATTAAACATGCATATTGTGTACATGTAATTGTTATTTTATGCAAGTCGTCCCTTCACAAGGCATAAATGCCACTCAATGTGAGGGCTACCATACAAGAAGAAAAGACAGAAAAAAAAGAGGATGATAGAAAATGAAGACAATTAAGTTTAGTGTGTGAGAGATGCATGTTCACATTGTGTTTATACAGGGTGAGTTAAAAAGAAAGTGACCTGCACTCAAGGTTTTTTTTTTCTTAAAAAGCAGTCAAATTAGATACACCAAAGAAGTGTGTCTTATTAAAAGGAGCATGTTCTTCCACTCATCTGGAAAAACCCAATCACTGGATAAGGAAAATGGTGGCTCAGACCCATTCAGAGATGCTCTTTCTTATAGACTGACAATACCCGTAAATATGTACGGGTATATTTGCTCGCCCCAAAGGAAATGAAATATTTTCCTAATGTCCATGTCATTTGCTCCAAGAAATATGGGAGCGCGGGAAATTTGGATTATAGATGCTCTGTGGTGCAATCTGAGGTGATTCCTGGCCTTTTATAGTCTTTATAAATATAGTCTTTATAAATATAGTCTTTACACAAATTATATGATGACGTTGAAGAACTTATTTTAAAACAAGGAATGTTTTGGACTCGGTGAAAAGTATAATTTGTACTTTAAAAGTGCACTTAAAAAATGGTGACCAATGGTGAGTTCCAATGGCTCTCCAGCTTGCTGTGTCATACAGCCAGTACACAATGTTTGCAGGATGATGTTTAATATCAGCGCCGGTATATTTGTAAGGAGGTTGCCCTCCTCCTTCCCTCCTTCTCGCTCTTCTCCCCCTCTTTTTGTCCTTTTTTTTCCTTTTCTTTTTTGTTGACTCAATTTGATGGAAGCACATGCCCCCGCAGACCACCCCTGGATCCGCGCCTAAATTATCATACAGTTTGCGCTATATCAAGAGTTCCTATTGCCAACAATGGTTGGAATTTCTCAAGGTCTTTTAATGGCATTAAGAAATTAAAGGGCGGTGAAATGAATTTCACTAAAATATTGAAATATATAAGCCTCCTGTATTTATGAAAGTAACAACTACATGTACTTATTTATTTTCTTTTTTTTCAAGTGCACTTTTTACAATGTCCAAAAAATTTCACTTTACAGCATTGGGATTTTCTGTGTAATTTATGAACCTGAATTTCTCTGCATTGTACATGTATGTATATGTACACATAGCAGTTTACACATTGAAGTATCACATTGACTGCCTGCCATGAGCTAACCGCGATCAAAACACTTTGGTAGCTATATTTTTCCTCAAACAGCAGTGAAACTGAAGCTCCAGCTCATGACATCACTGTATTTCTCATGAATATGCACCTTGGCACCATCATGAAAATATGTAAAAGCCTGAAACATCCAAAGACTTGGAATACAGAGGTGCATTTCCTAAAATGAAAACCTCCAAATCTGTTTCAAAGGCACTTAAACAAGTACTTAAGGTGGAAAATGTCAGGGTTATCCATATGTTAGTACCAATAGATGTGCATTTTCACAAATAAAAAGTAGCAAACTTGTTCATTCACAAAAACCTCATCAAGTAACAAGGAACAGATACGGAAAGTGTAATTTAATTCATTTGCCAAGAAGATCATTTGTAAGTATTTCAACACCACTTGAATGCATACATTGAATGAGTTCCAGCTGTTCCCTTTACTGATAGTTGCTTGCAATCTGCTCTGGGCCTGCACATTACTGATGTCATGGTGCGTACGAGTATTGGCGATCCACTAAAGTAAAACACATTACAACTCCAGCATATTATGCTGATAATATTTCTCAATTTCCAATCTACTTGGCACTCCAATAAAGATGATATATGAAAAAGGCATAGATCTACTCTACACTTTGAACACTACACAGCAAGTTCAAGAGCAACTGCACAGTGCTCCACTTACATGCATGGCTTGCACTCATCAGTTACCAGAGAACATTGTTCTTGACAACTTTCCAAAGATTGGCTCCCTTCTGGTTCTGGATGTGCATACTGCTGCCCTTGTGCTGATGGCTCGGTGCCAGTCAGCCCAAGACATTGTTCCTGAGTACTTGCAAGTGACTGCTGGCTCTCTGCTGGTTCTGGATGAACACACTGTTCCCCTTGCATGGATGGCTGGCAGTCAGTCAGACTAGAGCATTGTTCCTGATGAGAACTTGCAAGCGCTGGGGTCCCTGCTGGTTCTGAATGTACCTCAACATGCACTTGAACATGCTGCTGACTGTGCATGGATGCCTTGCTGCTGCTTAGCCTGGAACATTGTTCTTGACAGCTGTCCAGTGACTGCTGACTCGCTGTGTGTTGTGCATGCCCTGGGCTTGGTGGCTTGCTGCTGCTTGGCCTAGCAGCATGGTGCTCTTGGTCATTTTCTGCCTGTAGAATCACAGGAAGCTCAATCTGCTTCCCTTGCTGCGATGGTCGGCTGGGATTCTATCTTGGGCAGCAACGACAGCACAGTTTGAGGAATGAGAAAGCCTTGACTACAGCTTCACGATAGTCAGCGTTTGTGGCACTGCAGACTAGGGAATTAATTGAGCTATTGGTCAGTTGCAAAATTTCAATGCATATAGCCAGAATATGTATTGTCTCTCCAAGTTCCAGATTGGCAACAATCTGAGCAGTTGAAGTGTCCTTTGATGTCACTACAAGAAAATGAATTGTCACAATTGTAGCTGCAGTGTACAGTGAGTTCAGAATGAAGAAAACAGCAGTATTGATGATAACCATACGGAGGACCTTGCCTGCTCGCTTGGGACGGTTTGGTACCAGTGCTGATTGCTTGCGTACTTTCAATACTACATAGATGTACAAAGCAAGAGTTGCTATCAAAGAGGCAAGGTTGATAATGGAAAGAATCCCAAGGTTGACACTACCGAAGACAGTTTTTGTTAATGGTAAGAATCACACCTACAATAATTGTTGGCACCCAGAGTCCTGCTGATATCTTTGCTGCTCGAGATTTAGAGGCTTTTTCCTTGAATGTCAGAGGATTGCGCACTGCAGAGAATCCCTCAGCTGCTATGGTAACCACAAAGAAATTAGAAGTTGCGATGAACGTGTATATGACACTTGTTATTGCCTTTATGACCATTAAGTTGTACTCTATAGGTGAAAACAGTGCCAATATGAAGTAAGTCATAAGGTAGAGTGAGTCAGCCACAGCCAGATTGGATAAGTAGATGTTGATGATTGTACGCATGGACTTCACTCGAATGATTGTGAAGAGAAAGACAAAGTTTAAGCAGAGGCCGATTGGTGCAATGATTTCAGCACTTAGCCATGTTATTTGATTAGTTCTTTCTCCACTCTTGTAATAGTTCTCAATATGCTTTTCAACTTCAGTGTTCCACCCAGTTGATGGAGTGGGGCTGTTTTGGTAGCCATCACCCATGGTTCATGGACAATGTAGCATTGAGCTCCGTGAGCTACATTTTATTCAGATGCAGCAAAGAATGTTCTTTTCTATTTCAAGATCACTCCAGATTTATACTTACAGGGATTGTAAGACCTTGAGCAAAGCGTAATTGAAACAGAAAGTTTCTTGTTCTGTTCTCTCTTCCCCCCCCCCCAACATTTCTGTCCGATTTTAATGCATGTGACTATCTTGTGGTATCAGTTCCTGTTACCAAAGCAGATGTATGTAAGTCAGTTTCACTACTTGCACTGACATGAAATCTGAGAATTAAATTTGTTTCAGTTTTAATTATTTGCTCCAGATTAAACATGCATATTGTGTACATGTAATTGGTTTTTTTTATGCAAGTCGTCCCTTCACAAGGCATAAATGCCACTCAATGTGAGGGCTACCGTACAAGAAGAAAAGACCAAAAAAAGAGGATGATAGAAAATGAAGACAATTAAGTTTAGTGTGTGAGAGATGCATGTTCACATAGTGTTTATACAGGGTGAGTTAAAAAGAAAGAACCCACATTCAAGATTTTTTTTTTCTTAAAAAGCAATCAAATTAGATACACCAAAGAAGTGTGTCTTAAAAGAGCATGTTCTTCCACTCATCTAAAAAAAACCAATCACTAACATTGATCCATGCCATCCGAAATTATGCATGTTTTACTCGAAAGAACCAGTATGTGTAGCTGTCCAAGGAATGCGATAATATTGAAAGCTAAATGAGCTAAATGAGAATTACAGATTAGGCCAAAAAAAAAAGTCTCCGGTTTCTGGTATGGAGCTTGCCCAAAAAGTGGTGCGGCGACGCGGCTTTTTTTTTTTTTACCTGATTTTTTTTGCTTCAAATGTCGGCTGATGACTGCAAATGGTGCCTGACTAAACTTAGTGCAAATATATGGGAGTCCAGAGAGGCCACATAAAGCTTATTCTCGACCATAACCCCATCTAAAAACACGTTAAAATTGTGCAGCAGCAGGATTCCAGTCAAACCAGTGAGTTTGGCGGTTTTGAGACATCATCTTTCATTGAAAAAAACCCTTTTTACCCCTCAGCCGAGAGGCTCGAGGGGTATTGTCATCGCCTAGGGCGTCCGTCCGTCCGGACGTATGTCCGTCCGTCCGTCCGTCGGGCCGTCCGGGCAGCTTAGTTTCCGGATGATAACTTGAGTTAGAAATGTTGTTTGGGGTTGTAACTTCGGTAGGGGGTTGCCCTTGGGAGTAGGCAAGTTGGGATTGGTTTTGAGGTCAAAAGGTCAAAGGTCAAGGTCACCGTGGTGAGTTAAATGTAAATGGTTTCCGGATGATAACTTGAGTTAGAAATGAGATTTTGGTGTCTAACTTTGGTAGGGGGTTGCCCTTGGGAGTAGGCAAGTTGGGATTGGTTTTGGGGTCAAAAGGTCAAAGGTCAAGGTCACCGTGGTGAGTTAAATGTAAATGGTTTCCGGATGATAACTTGAGTTAGAAATGAGATTTTGGTGTCTAACTTTGGTAGGGGGTTGCCCTTGGGAGTAGGCAAGTTGGGATTGGTTTTGGGGTCAAAAGGTCAAAGATCAAGGTCACCGTGGTGAGTTAAATGTAAATGGTTTCCGGATGATAACTTGAGTTAGAAATGAGATTTTGGTGTCTAACTTTGGTAGGGGGTTGCCCTTGGGAGTAGGCAAGTTGGGATTGGTTTTGAGGTCAAAAGGTCAAAGGTCAAGGTCACCGTGGTGAGTTAAATGTAAATGGTTTCCGGATGATAACTTGAGTTAGAAATGAGATTTTGGTGTCTAACTTTGGTAGGGGGTTGCCCTTGGGAGTAGGCAAGTTGGGATTGGTTTTGAGGTCAAAAGGTCAAAGGTCAAGGTCACCGTGGTGAGTTAAATGTAAATGGTTTCCGGATGATAACTTGAGTTAGAAATGAGATTTTGGTGTCTAACTTTGGTAGGGGGTTGCCCTTGGGAGTAGGCAAGTTGGGATTGGTTTTGGGGTCAAAAGGTCAAAGGTCAAGGTCACCGTGGTGAGTTAAATGTAAATGGTTTCCGGATGATAACTTGAGTTAGAAATGAGATTTTGGTGTCTAACTTTGGTAGAGGGTTGCCCTTGGGAGTAGGCAAGTTGGGATTGGTTTTTGGGTCAAAAGGTCAAAGGTCAAGGTCACCATTGTGAGTTAAAGGTAAATGGTTTCCGGATGATAACTTGAGTTAGAAATGCGATTTTGGTGTCTAACTTTGGAAGAGGGTTCCCCTTGGGAGAAGGCAAGTTGGGATTGGTTTGGGGGTCAAAAGGTCAAAGGTCAAGGTCAGCATGGTGAGTTAAAGGTAAATGGTTTCCGGATGATAACTTGAGTTAGAAATGAGATTTTGGTGTCTGACTGAGGTAGGGGTTTGCCCTTGGGTACAGGCAAGTTGGGATTGGTTTTGGGGTCAAAAGGTCAAAGGTCAAGGTCACCGTGGTGAGTTCAATGTAAATGGTTCCGAATGATAACTTGAGTTAGAAATGAAATGTTGGTGTCTAACTTCGGTAGGGGGTTTCCCATTGGTACAGGCATGTTGGGACTGGTTCTGGGGTCAAAGGCCAAAGGTCAAGGTCACCACGTTGAGTTAAAGGTTAATGGTTTCCGGATGATAACTTGACTCTGGCTGAGGGGTTTCAACAGCAACGCTGTTATTTTTCATTTTGCCGACGTGCATGGCTACGGCGACGCGCGCGCATACCAGAAACCGGAGACTTATTTTTTTTGGCCTTACACACAAGTATTCAAATACAAATGAAATTTTAATGATTGAAATCAAGACAAATTTACTATCAGGTTGTGTGTTTTGAATACGAGAAACAAGTCAACTCTCTGTTTTCTTCGAAATATCGATGGTGATTTTTGTATATTTTTCTTTGCAAGTTCTCGTTCATTCATGGAGGTGGGAAAACGATGGATGTTTCATTGTCCTCAATGGGTACATGTATTATCAGTTCACAGCACGGTTATTGACAAGTGGTGGACAGCCAAGTTTTGTGATCATTTTATAGAAATGGACATGAATTGGGAATTGAGTGTGCAATTTAAGTGAAATTGTGACAGTTAATAGTCAGTAAGATGTACTTTATCCCTCTTTTTTTTTTAATTTTGGAAAATTATTTCGCTCCAAACGTGTGCAAATCAATCAGTGTGCATGTGTCCTACATAAGTTTGCGTGCTTAGTCAATGATCTTCTTTTTCATATATGTAATTTTTTGTTGCCCTTCACTGAAGTAATTGAGTCCCACCTAAGCCTTCTGACAACACTAAGTGTACAGTGTTTACAAAATATGTCGGCGAAGGGCAAACAAAAATCCAATATAAAAAAAGGATAATTTACATCTCGTACGTAAAATTGTTTAATCCTGCCCAGGTTCCCATCTGAAGTCCATCCAGATGATCCTTGATAAGACAGCAGACGGTACAGGCATCGACTCCAACACCCTAGCCTTACAGATGAAGGGCCATCCTGAGCTGAGGGACAAGCTTCATGTCGTCACCTCATGGGGGCCTTTGCCTGTCTACCCTGGGGTGGTCAACTCAGAATTACCTGGTAGGTACAGTGGACTCTGTGCCCAAAAACTCTCCCTTTTAAGGAAAAAGGTTAGGTGGAACTCTTGAACGCATTGTCGCCCAACACCTTGCGCTGATGTTAAGATATTGGATGATCGTAGTGCAGTGTTTATACAGCACTCTTATACCACACTCTTGGATTGCTCACACTTATTACCCCTGTTCATCAGGCCATGAGAACTCTTTCCTGTTGAAGCTCAAGATCAGCAGTATCTGGTCTGCACCCTCCACATATACTCAATGGAGAGAGGTAATTGTAGTAATGTATCTTGCCCAAGAACACCAGCGACGTGTCCCCTGTCAAGGTTGACCCAACATAACATCGTGCATGAGTCAAACACGGGAACCTTTTGACCACAGGATTCTGCATGCTGAAAAACCTAAATTGATTCACATCACCCCAACGCAAAATTCCATCTTATGAATGCGATACCCGCTGCTATGTACATCATATCCCCTTAGCTCAGTGGATGAGTGGTAAGACATCAGCACTAGAAAGCAGGAGATCGTGGGTTCGAGTCCCACCCGAGTGATTTTTTCCAACTTTCACTCAGGAGGCAACACACTGACCATTTATACTGTCCGTTTATACGTACCGTTTATACGTCGGTGAAGGGCAAAACCTAATTTGATTTACATCACCCGACGCAAAATTCCATCGTATGAATACTGCATCAAATAAGTCATACATCTTTTGCATAAAAACATTTGTTGTGTGGGAGAGGGAAGTACCTCAGACAGTCAGACCACCATTTAAACAGAAGATCTGACCTTACACGTGTACTTGAGGACATTCAGGGGCCTCATGATTCTGACATTTAGTACGCCTGTAAAACTTTAAATAACGTTGAACCCTGCATCATAGGTCAATCTAACAATCTACGCACTAGCCTGCTGACAATCTACACGCTTGCCAGTATCAGACTTTAAACGGCCTGCAAGAACCTGCCGTTTTGAGTCTGTGTTTAGATTAACCACCGTTTTGCTCGTCTCATTTTGAATATTCTTTGGTCTTTTTTTTTCCTCAGAGGATCTCAAGACATCTATCACCAGGCATCTTCTCAACATGCATCTCGACCCCAAATGGCAAGCTCAACTGAACCAAAACATGGTGTCCAAATTTGTGCCGGTTACACTGGATCAGTACCAAGGATTGTTAAAATAAACAAACAAATGTTCCAATTAACCAAAAAGGGAAACCGACGATTAGTGCATTATAAAATATATTGCATTATTATGATATAACAATTGTAACAAAATAAAGAGACAGTGTTATATTAAAAAAAAAAATGATTAATTCATTGTTGAAATTGGTACTCATAAATTGGAACTTGTCATGATGCAATTTTGTGCTCTAAATTAATAATGCAATATACATATTTATTATGTAAACATGTTTTTTATATATTTTACTGAAACCAAAGAGACTAGTTGTCAATGTACAAGCTATTGTCACATCTTGCTGTGTGCAATGAGTTCGTTAGCAGGGCTCAAATTTTGTGTGAAAATTTTGTGGACAACAGTACCTGAAAGTATTATTTACTGGACCAATGTACATTCACAGTTAAAATTGAAACATTGTTAACTCAAAGCCATTTGCCTCATTTGCAATGAGCTAGAGAAGCATTGATTTAATGACAAAACTCTGCTCAAAGTCAAGATAGGAGTGGTACCAAATACCCTTTGAAAATATTCCAACTGAAATTGTTTTGTGTGGATGAAAACTGAGGTGGTGTTGAAAGAGGGTGTCCACGGCACATTTTAACATTATGCATTTATAGCAATGGAATCCAGTTACAAGTGACTGTATTTCCTCGGTTTTCTTAAAACGTATACTATCCGATCAACCTTCAACAGGTTAGTTGTCATGCACCCTGCTTTAGATTTTTAGCAATTTTGTTGCTTCAAACGAAAGTAAAGGCACAAGAAGCAAATAATCATATGTACCTCTATGAAAGTTGCAGTTATTAGGACTTTACAAGAAGTGTATTTCATTGCTTCTGATGGTAAATGGGAAACATCAAATGTGAACATTTTTAATAGTCAAATGAGTCTTGCATGTGTATGATAAGTCATGATCACGATAATCTGAGACCAGATTTGGACAGCAAATGCAATCATGAAAGGCATGTATTCATCTGAGTGCAATGTGTAATTATAAAACATCAAGATGAATTTTGATTCCCTTTGTTTTAAGTTGCCAAATCTTCCAAAGAATTTATATACAATTTAGAAGTGTTTTTGTCATTTCGTATAACCTTCGAGAGTCAAATACATTTGAACTTCAGAACTATGTGTGTTACAGTGAAGTGCAAATTTGCCTTGTTAAGATTATTTATGCAAATGCGATAAGGTTTTCTGTCATGGATGTTGGTATGAACGTAGATGATGTGGATATGATTCACCTACTTTAATGTAGTTGTGTTTGTCATTTATAATACATGTACACCATATAATTATTAAACTTATCAGAATTTATGTGCTGTAAATTTTGGATTTTTGTGACTTGGTTTAAAAATTAACTGTCACTTCTTTCATATTTCAAAAAACTATATTTCCAATGGCAAATTATTAAAGTGGATGTGGTGTTTAAAATGAATCAGATTTTCTATTCTATAAATGTTCTAGTGTTCTGGCAACGTGATGTTAGAAATGAACTCTTTTGAACTTTTAATAAAATTGTATTTTCAATGGCAAATTTTATATTAAATACATGTACATGTAGCTCTGAGCCAATTTACTTGTTTCAGTCAAATTATTCTGTGTGAAAGATTGACCATTTTTTCCTCTTGCTTATGTCATTGTGTCACGCTTAATTTCTTGTTTACAGAATCCCAATGTTTTCAAGTAGATATCATGGCTGATGGAAAGTACTCAAGAAAAATAATCAAATCCAAATTTAAAATATCTTGAAAAATTTAAGTATCTTCCTTTTCTTGTACATATATTCAATGGGGAGTGCCCAGGGGAGTGCCGATAAAAGCCTACAATCGTGCACACTACATTACCTAATAGTGTACAGGGGCGGATCCAGGAATTTCGCAGGGGGGGGGGGTGTTACATCAGCCAAAAAATCCGATGTAAACAGGTGTTTTTTTCCGGACATTTGGCCTCCGTAAAATTAAAAACTAGGGGGGGGGGGGGGGGGGGGCTGGTTCCATATTTTAATAGGGGGCGCTGTTCAAATTCGACGATTAGTAACGCTAGATTACAGACTGGTGTGCCGTATTTTGAACAGGGGTACATTATACCAGTATAATTTTTTAGGAATTTGTATGATAATGTTTTTTTTTTACCCCAACCCCCCTCCCTCTAGATCCGTGCCTGGTGTAAAATTGATGGCCCCTGCTCACAACTGTTTTTTTTTAGGGGGAAGGGGGGGGGGGGGGGAGAGACCGTTCGAATGTAACATCACCTTAATTCTAACATTTGCTACCGTCTTTTTGTACGGAATTCCTTTTTTTTAATGGGGGGGGGGGTCTCAACAAACGTTTGGGTGCTCCCTGCCCCCCCCCCCCCCCCCCCCCCACACTGATGGAACCACATCTGAGGGTGAGTTCCCTCAAATGACTCGGCCCATTTCGGTTCTGTAGGCCACATTTCTTGCGTTTACCACAATTTGGTAAAAAAATAATGGACCCAGGATATTATACATATACTTAAACACAAAAACATACATACATAATCTTTACACCGTTCTAAAGGAACTTTGTTCTACTTTTCATTTTGAGGTAGCATTTTTGGTATCAGGGGTCAATCTCTCTGGGGGTAATCTTGCCACCAAGTCTATGTTAAAAAGTTTCTACCGGTAACTTTAACAGCGCCCTCTAAACAAATCTTTGAGAGTGGTGTTTTTGAAATTTCGGACTAGCTTCGGCTCGGTGTCGTAATCATTTCCACAACTAATTACATGTCCGATACAAGCAAGTCATAACATTTGGGCTGTCAACAACAAGAAATGTTCAAAGCAAAACAAAGACCGATACCAGTATATCCCGAAAGTGACAAAATAACATCGCTGGAAGTCAAAGCTAAATCTTTCAAACGAAACCAATGTTTACGAAAATTCCCAAGGTATGACGTATTGCCCACGTGAGGGCGCATACAGGTGGTGTTGTTTTGTGACACTGACAGGTGCAAAATGAATGATTGCAATTCACACGTGGCGGTTTGTTGTCATGTCAGTGCTGCATGCACATGTCACAATGAAAAGACCCTGTACTCAAGCCCTTCTCGCAAGTGTCGTCGCCATGTTGGGTCACTTTCTCCGGATGTTTTCATGGTTGTTTCTCTGCTAATTTGTGAGGTACTTGGTTCAGTACGTCCACCGTCAACTCGATTTTCTTAACCCCTGAAAAACTGCAAGAAGTTCATGGCCTGGTCGTGAGTATTTAACAGGGACAGAATCGTATTACCAAGGTTGCGATCATGGCGATGTGCATTCACAAAGCGCGGGGTTTGCAATCGAATCAACGTACAATTTTCCGTAAACCGTAGATCTAAAATTTTCACATAATCCTATTTAAACATTTTGGATTTTGAGCATGTTAAGGAAGTGACAGTTAAGCTAGTGGTTTCTCACGTTCGTCATGTGCATTTTCCCATGTTGAATAACTTGAAGTGTTCAACATATTTAATTGGGTAATCCTTATCTTTAGGACACCTCTCGAGTTCTGTTCAAAACTGACTTTTGCAGATGACTGTCCAGTACCAAAGTGACTTTTGCAGGCTTAAGCAGTCTTTTTTCTTCAGATAAACTCATGTTAGTTGTCATTTTGAAAGCACTTTCAAAGAAAATGTGACTTTCCTACCTTTTTTTGCAGTTCGCCATCTTGCTTTTTAAATATATTTTCTGTTTGTCATAGTCGTCTTGAACCCCTCATAAATCAAAGCCCTAACCTCTTTCCACAAAATGTAACCTGCTGATATTCAAGAAGGTGTCACTGCCAACACAACAGTTCAAATGTGTCAAGAAACATCAGAATGTGACTTTTGAGTGTCATTTAGTCAACTGTTTTGGTGAGTCTTAGTTTTAACCTATATAGGAACGGGGTCCTAAAAGTAAGGATTACCTTTAATTGGCCTGATCGAAGATCAATCTGATAATTGACAATTATTATGTACCAAAAACAGGGCTGATGGCTTTCAGGGACTTCATTCATCCTTGCAACATATCTCTCTCTCTGTTATTTTAGTCTCTATTGTATTGGAGTGGTGATGTGAAGTAGTTTTCTACAGGAAATAATTAATGCTGGGTTCCTTTATTTTCAATAGGACCCAAAGAAATATTGATTGTGAAAAGAATGCAAAAGTCATATCCGTCACACCTTTTGTGACGGAAATGACAATTATTATATTACTTGGCTTTTGGAGGTATAATTACCTTTTCAAGTTGTTTACGTTACAAATTATGGCAGTAGGTACATATTGAGAAATACACGGGGACATGCATTTTGAGGGGGTTTTGAGGGAGTATTGTAAAGAATGAGCATCTTGTCCATTATGTTAAAGAGTTTTTAACACTGCACATAATAGGAGTCGTGTTAATTTCACTGCTCAGAAATCTTATTTTCATTCTATATTTTTTCGAATTATAGTGCCTTAAAGTGTCGGGACATGAAAGTAGACACTTGATACTGAAGAATGACCCATAGGCCCCTTTTTAATAAAAACTTGCTGGGAGTGTACATGCGGGAAGAAATTCATGATAAACTATCTCCAGCATTTAGGATAGAGATAAACCCACGAATGATTTTAGCGTAAGGTTGATGCATTGGCAGTTGTACTGTTTAACTATGTTCACTATAGGGTGTCAGTGGGTACATTTAATTTTTTGAAAAGAAGCTGAAACAATTAGAAGCAGTAGGTGAAAATTAACAAAAATCCACTTTGAAAAAAGATGTATATCATAAATTTAATTTAGCTACTTAAACTGTGCCTATTAATTTACTTGTGCTTTTAACAAATTCAATAAATATATAAAATCTGATATCAAAAAGTATTTTTGTCCTCTGCAGGCTGAGTGTAAACATTAAACTGAAATCCACAGGCAAAAGGGGAACTATGTATTGGTGGAGTGAGGAAATTATGGATGTGACATTTACACATTTAAACATTTAAAATAATAAACAAAATTCTAAATCGTATTTTTCCAAAAGTTTTAACAAAACTCAAATTTTAAAAACAGGAACCTATTTTCGGCTATCTTCCTTTGAGTTGA